GAAAAGGAAAAGCATGCCTCTGCACCATAAAGAAACCTCTAAAGCAAACATCTTTCCTCCTGGCTCTGCCAAAAACTCCTCTTGCAGCCTCATCTGTGTTATTTACTCGTAGCTTAGCTGGGAAAGAGCAGCAGCATCCTTTTTCTGCTTCCAAGAGGATGCAGGGACCACATTTTAGCACGCATGAGGCATTCTGAAGCACTACAGAGGAGCAGGAGGTTCTCCTCGCTCCCTGAGCTCATCTGCCTCACCAGGCTCCCGTGTGCTATTAAACAGCTGCCACGTTCCACCTCAGAACTTCCTGCAAGTCAAAGCAAAAAAAAAAAAAAAAAAAGGAGCCCTAGCACAAAAATAGATAAGTACCCTAAAATACTGGAGAAAACAGACAGGCACCCATTGGTCAACAGCTGTGCGCTGCTTTGGCATCGTCCCTCACTAGAAGACACTGCATTAGAGGAAGCAATGATCATCATCATTAAATGCCTTGATGGAAGTCAGGCATCTGGTTTTCAGCATTTAGCTGATGAAATAAATAAGGGTGCTTTTGGCAAACGCAGAGGGAACAAACATGGTACGATCAGAGAAGCTGGAGGGATTCCAGCTTCCCTAATAGCGTCCCTCCCTTTCACCAGCTCAGGGACTTCCCACAGGAGAGTCCTGCGGCACATCAGGCCACTCACATCACACACACACCCCCCCCGGCACGCTCTTGGGGCATGCAGATCCCCTCGCTAAGGGGACTCAGCCCCCCTGGGGTGGGAAGAGAAACAACAATCTCTATTAAAGGATGACAAGCACGCAGAGACTCAAGGGCACAAGTGGAAAACCTGCTGCCCCAATTTCCTCAGCCCTGCTCTAAATGCAGAGGAATGGATCCCACCACCGCTGCTGCACCTTGATCTGCTGTGGGGCTCACATGGGAAGAGAATAGCAGCTTTTCAGCTTTCAGGCCACACACCCCCCCTTGCAGAGGAATGGATCCCACCACCGCTGCTGCACCTTGATCTGCTGTGGGGCTCACATGGGAAGAGAACAGCAGCTTTTCAGGCCACACACCCCCCTTGCAACCTGCCCAGCTAAAATACCCTTGTCTGAGACATGCTTGCTGCCTGAGGAAAACTCCTCCTGCTGCGAGGTACCCCACGGGGGACCATACTGTTACCCCCTGCCTGCAGCAAGGCCAGAAGGCTGCCCACCTCCTCCGTCTAGACTTGGAGCAAGTCATTACTCCATAGACCAGCCATTGCTTCCGCCATTCGTGTCCCAGGGATGCATCCCTACCCTGCAGGATTGGTTTGCTAAGCTAAGCTACCAGGGCTGTTCTATCCATTAAAAAGGTGCATGGCCTCAGAGATGCTCATTTAACATATTTCTGCCTTCTAGATGGCTTTTACTTTTCACTAAACTCAAGACGCAGTACAATATACGTGACTGATTAGGTTGTGTTATACAGTTCCCGCACATTTAGATTAGAAATGATTATGACTTAAATAAAATAGCTGAATGCAATTCTTAGTGCCATCTATTTCCACCCCCCTCCTCTTTCGAACGCAAGACAGCAAGTGGGAGGTGTAGAGCAAGTCTAGAGGAAGAATAAAGATACCAGGATCCAGTTCTTGCCCTGCATCTTGTGTTAGGGCAGCTGAGGCCCAGGAATGCAACCGTAGATACAAGGGATCAAGACAGTATCTTTCACCTCAATGTTCCTTAAACACCCTCCCAGAGAAGTCCCTCTTCTGCAGCAAGGGGAGATATCCCCTCACCTGCAGGACAGCTTACCAAAGACGGGGGTACGGAGGACAGCTGTCCACTCCACACAGACCCCAACCACCCTCTTGGGCAGCACAACACAAGAACACCTTTGGAAGGGAGGAGGCAGAGATGCTTCGTAACAGGAGGGCTGGTAGTTTCCCTAAGAAACATTCAGAGACGCTGGACCACCCTCCATCACAGCATCATAGCAGACCAGAGAAGGAGAAGGCTTGCCCTGGGCTACAGGACACTACGCTGTGGCTTCCTGAAGTTTCTAACCTTAAAATAGATATTCCCCCAGCTAGCTTTAAATGCTCCAGGTGACAGGGTGGGAAACAAACTAGTGACCACATTCCCAGAGGACCCCTGGCCAGGCTACAGGCAGGGGAACTGGAATATGCCCATCCCTGCAGCCAGCAGCAGGCTGGTGGGACTTGTCAGGGCACAACGCAGCGGCACACACATCTGCATGCAACAACAAAGAGGTTGGAGGGAACTGGACAGACGTGCTGGCCTTTCCCGAGGTTTGTCTTGGTACTGCCAACCCCGGCAGAGGATTTTCATCATTCAGACCTACATGGGATCGAGGGAAGGAAGTGTATGTTCTTTTAAAGTGACGTCAAGCATCACACCTTAGGGAAAGTTTTAGGAAAGAAATTTATCAATCCACATAGCGAAAAGATGACATTTCAGGGAGACACAGGCAGTGTCACAGCTCTGCTGGGCCACAGAAGAGAACAGGTTTAATGAACTTCAAATGTCTGACCTCAGGGGGACCCCAGTACCTTCCTGCTCTCTAAGCCACTAATAGAATCAAGCACATGGGCAGGCACTGTCTGTTGCAGAGAGCGTGCTTTTCCCCCATGCCCCCAAAGAGCCACCCCGAGCCTCTCCTCACACAGACACCTTCTCCTATAGAAAATGGCTCCCACAGCACTCATGCTTCCCCTCTCAGCCTTGCAAGTACAAGCAGCTGCCCCACATTATAGCATATGATAAGCCCAAGGGAACAGCAAGGTCTTGGGTAAATTTAGGGCTAGATTATAGCCCATCTGACTGTGACTAACCTTCTGAAATGAAGGTCAGTGCTGGTACTTTGGGATGTGATTTTCTTCCATTTACTTCTTGATGGGAAAGTGATGGAGAGTGTAATTACTGCTGTACTACCGCTCACAAGTTGCAAATGTCCTAGCCCAGGAAAAATGAAGACTCAGATGCAAGCGCTGTGGGAAGAGAGGGAAAGAGGGGTATCAAACAGTCCTCACCGGCTCCCGCTGTGTGGGGGGAAAAAAGTTACCAGGCCATCATCATCATCACCCTGCGCATGGGAGATGTTGCAAAGCAGCTGAAGTGCTGGTGCCCTCATGGCTATGGGAAGCAGCAGCCACAGCCTGCTCTCAGCTGTGCTCACACGAACCTCCAATGCCCCCAAACCTTCTCTATGCAACCAAAGGAGCTGCAGCAATGCTCAACAAGAGCCCAGGCTTTTGAGAGACTACAGAGACAATTGCAGCAAACCATTGCTATCCTGCAAGACAACCCGATGTTGGAAGTGACCCAAAGCCCACTTCTCTGCTGCTACATGGCATATCAAACCCAGATGCTGCGGACAGAGGGCAAACCCCTAAGCAAATCCCGCCAAGAGCTCAGGAAAACTTGCAGCAATGCTCAACAAGAGCCCAGGCTTTTGAGAGACTACAGAGACAATTGCAGCAAACCATTGCTATCCTGCAAGACAACCCGATGTTGGAAGTGACCCAAAGCCCACTTCTCTGCTGCTACATGGCATATCAAACCCAGATGCTGCGGACAGAGGGCAAACCCCTAAGCAAATCCCGCCAAGAGCTCAGGAAAACTAGAGCCATCTCCTGAGCAGCAAAAAACCTTCTCTATGCAACCAAAGGAGCTGCAGCAATGCTCAACAAGAGCCCAGGCTTTTGAGAGACTACAGAGACAATTGCAGCAAACCATTGCGATCCTGCAAGACAACCCGATGTTGGAAGTGACCCAAAGCCCACTTCTCTGCTGCTACATGGCATATCAAACCCAGATGCTGCGGACAGAGGGCAAACCCCTAAGCAAATCCCGCCAAGAGCTCAGGAAAACTAGAGCCATCTCCTCTGAGCAGCAAAAAAAACCCCAACCCCCCAAAAAAAACCCCAAACAACCCTAAAACCCTTCCACTGCAGCTTCAGCAACAAGCCACAAAAAGAGATGCCTGGTTGCAAGACGTATTTCCACTCTGGCAGCCTGCAAGCAAGCCCTGGGGTGGAAGTGTGCTGAAATACCCCCCTGCATCCAGCAACCCCCCCCCTGAGGACAGGCAGCCATGAGGCAGCATCGCCCCAACCATCACACCTCAGGACAGGGGAAACCAGAGAGACCACACGGCTTTTGCAGCAAAATACACATTAATACCCTTCCTTGAAAGCTTTTAAAAGGAGGACGCTCAGTATTTCCACACAGTATTTTGTAGCAAGGTCTGAGAGCAGTACCTGTCCTCTGTCACACAGACCTGGAGCTCCCTGCCGTGGCAGCCATCTTTGTTTCCTTGCCGCAGCGCCCATCTTGTCTCCTCACCGCCGCGCCCATCTTGTCTCCTCGCCTCACCAAAATATCACCCCCAACATGGCCACAGCCACCCCGAGCAACTTCTCCCTCAGCAAAGCAGAGGAGAATGGCAGCAGAAGCAGGCTGGAGGAGCTACCTCAGGGCCCTAAGTGGCTGAGTGCTGGCACCTGGGCCTAATGAGCACCCCACACCCACTGGGCACCTTCCAGCACCTTCCGCCCCCGGGGCAAAGATCACCTCTGAATCAACACTACCACAAAAGCACCTGAGGAAAAAAATTTAATTAAAATCAACAAATCCGCTTCCCCTTGCCACAGGTGGCTGAAGGCATCTTGCCTTGAATGTCCCCTGCTATGTTGAAAGGGTCCCCAGGGAGGCTCTCCACACACCGTCACCCTCAGCGGAGATGCGTCAGCTTTGCTTCCCTTCACACTTGTATAAAAAGAAAGGGACAAATAAATTGAGATTTACGGGATGCCAGAAGAGCTGATTTTTTTTTTATTATCTTATTTTTCCCTCCCCCCTTGAACTCAGTTTTTTATTTTTATTTCCCCCCCCCTGCAGCAACTGTTTGAAGGCTGCAGATGGAGCGCTGAGAGCAGCTGGGATCTCCTTGGAAAGAGATGCAGTAGCAGCAGGCTGGAGGGGCAAGGATGTGTGTGCACACACAACATCACCCTGGACAGGACCCACCAAGGGAGGATTGCTAATTTTCCGGCTCTGGGTGTCTATCTTGTCCACCACGTTCACCAGGACGTGGTACTGGATGTCCTTTCTCATGCTTGTTCTGGAAGCACCTGTGCACGGTCCAACCTAGTTTCCACCATTTGAGCAACAAATAATGTAGAAAATACCTCCCTACAGCTAATCCTCTGTGCAAATGGTTGTGGGATTTGCTTGGCACAGGGGCACTGTGTGTTGGAAATCGGAGGGATGCGGGAACTGCTGGTGGCCTCTTGATGGGACCAGCTCCTACAGCATCTCCTGAGGACCCCAGGCAGAAGCGGCACACCATCACCATGCCTCCGTCCTGCATTTATGGGGGACTCCTGTTGGCAGCTCCGCAACCTGCCACAGCATCCACCTTCCCGGTCCTAATTCAATCTGGAACAAGTTTACCCATGTGGGTGTCTCTGTGTCTGAGCACAGTCTCACAAAGCCCTTCGTCCCTTGCCAACGTCAGTGTCGGTGCCAGCACTGCAGGCCTATGCCAGCATCACCCATGGGTGCCTCAGGACAGCGTGGCACTGAGCTCTGGGTAGGAGCATGGGTTCAGGCAGCCGCAAAATGGAAAAATTGAGATCAGTTACCCAAAAGGTCCTCTGGCAGGTCTCAGCTCTTTGAGGGAGTAAATAAAACTCTCACTTTATTTTCTCTGCCTTAGCTGTTTCATCTCTTTCTTGGCCTTTCTTCTCTCACTTGCTCTCATTTTTTAAGGATGCCAATTTTTTCACAAAGGTTTTTGCCTCATTTTTTGGTGTTTGTTTTTTCTTATTTCCTCCCCCAGAGAGTCCAAATTTAGCTGTCACTTTACACTTAGCTCAGTGTCTTTTGCCCATTGCTCCACGGGTTCCAGAGTTAGCAGATAAAAGCCTTGCCGGTGTGGACAGTGTTGCCTACACACTCCTGGGAACAAGGACCCTTCTGCAAATCCAGTGTTTTTATGGGGCCAAGAGGGGGACCAACCTCACCATGGCCTCTACAACCTCACCATGGTCTCTAGGACGGTGGCTACTGTTGAGATCACGGTCCCTAAACTGCTCCCCCTCTACCAGGAGACAGGCAAGGACCACCTCTTCCACAGGGTAGCTTCTCCTGCTGTGCAAACAGCCGTGCCATCTGCGTGCAGCAAGAGCATGCCACACGCCTGTCCCCGTGCCCGCACAGCGCATGCCTGCGAGAAGGCGACGCGCACCGCATCGCCGCCGTGCCACGTATAGACATGGACGCTAACATGCCCAGAGGCAGGCTGCCATCTATCTGGATGCAAAAACACATGCGGACACACATCCTACACGTGTTCCTGGTGTGCACACGTGACATTGCCTCTTATCATACAGGCGTGACACCTCCATGAAGCCGCCTACCACCCGTTCCATGCAGACACCACCCTTTCCACGTGTGTGCTATACTCACACACCCCCCCCTTACACGGCATGTAGCCATGCACACAGGAATAAGCATCTTTCACAAATATACCCCTTTTTCAGTGCCTGGTTTTCTGTTTTTGCTGGGAATACTCACCTTTTCAGTACCTGGTTTCTGTTTTTGCTGAGAATCAGAAACTATCATTGCATTAACACGCTGTATTTTCCATACTGCTTTTAAGCCATTCTCTGACTTCACGTTCCTCTGGGTCTCTCACATCCCCCCAAAACCATCTCTCTCTGTAGTTGCTCCTTTTTATGTCACCGCTGACTCCTCAGTGATGGGAGGCAATGGTTAATATTACATTTTTCCTTCCAAGCATACAAATGCCCAGAATGGAGCTGAAAACAAGAGACTTCTGACCAAAGCAACGTGATTAGGAAATGCAGATTTTTCTTCTCCCTGAAGTACTAGTGATTGGAGTCAGGTCTGTGTCACCTCCGCAGACTGGCTCTGTCAAGCAACTGCCTTCAATGCTTCTTTTAATGAAGTCTCATTGATTGATTGCTCCCTGCCCTTACAGGGATGCTGCTGTCACCCCAACCCGCTCTTGCCAGCCTGAGGATTATGGCAGAAGGGCTCAGCCCACACCAGCCTGGGGCCTGTCTCTCAGCTGAAATTTCCTACCTTACAGCAGAGATCTGCAGCACGAGCAAAGTGACAAGTTTGAGCTGCCGTCAGCAGAGGAGCCGACAGTCTCATCTGAATAACGGTGCCCGAGTTTAGTTTTTAATTAAGCCCTTGTGGGTTCCTTGAAAGGTTGCAGATGACACAGCCTCCTCTGAAGCTGGCCTAGGGAGACATCCAGAGTCAGCACCAAAGCCTGCCTCCTCCTCAAAATGATATGAAATTGGGACCCTGGAAAAAAGGATGAATTCTGAAGAGGAGCAAAAATGTTTTTTTTCTGAGTCCAGGTCGGCTCTGGGAGGAAGCAAGGCTCCTGCCAGGCTCAGCTTCTGCCCATGCCTCTGCTGCCGAAGGCAGGGGTGAGGAGCGCACGGCCCTGCCTGGTGAGACATCCTTCTCCATCTCCATGCCCAGCCGTCCCTTTAGGGTATCACAGTGACGAGTGCGATGTTTCATCCTGAATTTATCGCTGTGGTCTATGCAGATGCCAACAGGGGAATGCTCTCCCTTGCATTTACACTACTGGATACACAGCCATCAAATACCCTAAATTAAAGACCTGCGGCTACTGTCCAGTAAGTCCTGATATGCCTGTATCCATGTAAATCCTAACGTGTGCTATTTGCTTTCAGGACAGATAAATGTACAGCTTCGCCTCCCCATCCTGCCCCGCAATATTATATTTTAGTACTGACTAGAAGATTTCCATCAAACAATATAAACACATTTGTCATGACTGTTCACAGTGGCTGGTCTTCTCCGAGGAAACAATTGAAAAAGAACAGTGTTTAATTCCCAGTTCAGTGGGATTCATAGTGCTGCATTATTTGAGCTTTGTTTCCTCCACGCTTCCTTCTCTATTTTTTCTTTTTAGGTTGGAAAATCCCCCACGCTTTCTACCTGGATTGCACTCATTTCTAACCAAAATAAAAAAAACCTTGTAGTTTTGAACTGTTTTATTAAAAAAACAAACCAAACAACGACGACAGAGGAATTTTTTGAGGAGGGATTGTGAATAGGGAGAATGCTTTCTCCCTGGTTCAAACAAGAACGAGACTGTCCATTTTCCCCACCAGTCCTATGGCCATTTAAACACGAGGGTAAATACATGGGGAAAATGGGGAGAAACAGGTTTATGGCCAGGAAAATGAGATGTGAAAGCCCCATGGGAGGAGGCTAAGTCCGTGGACTCAGCACCGGGAAGGGGAGGCACAGCAAGGTAAGGTGATGCTAGTCACAGAGGAAGCATCAAGCAAAACCCAAATTTCACAGTGGCAGTTTGGGTGATGAACGTAAGCGGAGGCGGAGGAGGAAGAAGGCTTCTACTGACAAAAGACAGATAAAGGGGTGCTTGAATGTCACCTCCTGCGGCAATCCGCAGCCACTTGTGGCAGTGCCCTGCATCCTCCCGCTGTGACGACCTGTCCCTCTCATCCCTCGCTTTGTCCGGGGGCGAAGCAGAGATGTCTCTTGATGCAACTTCACACAGTTGCAGGTCTACGACTCCCAGGACTCCGGTTAGCAAAACCACCCAGAACAGCCTTGACAAATGTCCTACGGACAACGTGGAGTGGGAATTGACACCGAACACCGTTTCTAGAGCTGCTTCTGCTGCCACAAAGCCGAAGAGCACTCCTCCGCTATCTCCTGCTTTGAAGAGCTCTCTTCATGTGACACAAGGGTTCGGTTCAAGCATTCTCGCTTTGCACCCCTTCACTCCTAGGAGAGGACCTGTGCTCGTCTTGTGGTCCACCAGATCTCTAGGCACCTTTTTCTTTCCCTGCTTCTTCTTTGCCTTGTTTCTAGCAGTTTAAGGAGCAGCTCAGAGGATGCACAAAAAGGCCTAAACCCTGTTATTATTTACACACCGCCACTCCAAGCAGTTAAAAAAGGCGTGAGAGACCGAGGTGCTTTCAAAAAAAGAAACTATGAGATTTTTTAGAAGTAGAAATAAATAGCAGACTACTTCTATGTCCTTTTTTTTTTTGCTCCCTGGCTCTGCAGAACGTAAAGGTTGTGTTTTCCAAATTTTCCCTGCTACAGTAAAGACCAAACAGTCAAAAGGCAAGAAAAGCTGAATTCCTCGTTTCATGTCGTGACTCCAGGAGCCGGGGCCTTTAGAAAAGCGATAAACATCATGGGACTGATGCTCTTCAGTATTGGCAAGATTTGTGAATAAGTACAGAATTTTATGGGCCTTGACTGTCCTTTGCCTTAGGATCCTTCAAAAGGGACTTTTGGTTATCCTAAATATAACTTGCTTCTTTTTCAAAGTCCTTTTTCATCAGCCGGGCTCAGTGCGGCTTGTGCTAAAACCTGTGCACAGGGCACTGCTCTATATAAGCTCTCCTGCACTGGCGAGAGAGACTTCTCCCCCGGCTTTCCATGGCTGTAAATGGACGCATAGGGTGCTACCCCAGAGACGCCCAGACCCCTGTGTCTTCGTACACGGCTCACAGCCTGAGCAGTAGCTCTCTGCAGACCTCAGAGCAATTTCTTTTCCCTTTTTTCCTGCAACGGGCCAAGCGTACAGAAGAAGGGCTCCAGCCCCAGGGGATACCGCCCTTGAGATCGTTCCAGCGGGGAGCAGATGGCAATTGCACATGAGCATTTCAAGCATCACTACGATTATGGATTGGCTTACCTTAAGAAAACAGAGAAACTCATTTGTCCCTCTATTCAAACCCACGTCTATATTCTCGGCTGACACAAAGCAGCCTTCCCTCATCGGCATACGTAAACCTATGTCGGTTTACTTCAGCTATTTGCAAGCCCAGGAAGGTGAGCGTACCGCACGAAGGATCCCAAACACCACTGTGTTACTACGGCAACACAGCAGCGATGCTCGGGACCACGCTGTTGACTACAGCAATACTTTTCTATAAGGGTCCCACGCAGTCCTGCATAGCTCTTGGAAAGAACTCAAGCCAACGGGACAAATGCAAAGAGACCCCCCTCACCCGAGGGGAAAGCTCTCGCCGGCTGCCCACAACCGCCCCGACAGC